CATCCCCCCTCCCGTTTTGTGTCCAAAATATACATAAAATTTAATAAATCAATTTTTTTGGTGTGTCCGTGGGCACCTACCCCAACCCCAAATTGCCCCCCCCCCCCCCTTTCAAGATTCCAATATCCGCCACTGGAATAGGCCGAGTATTTGATACAAAAGACTGTATTAAAAAAAGAAATGTATTGATTAAAGCACAAAATTTTACAGCATAACTGTATTTGAATAATGCCTTATTCATTAATATTCTCTTTTCATGTAGGCAAGTTTATTACGTAGTACAAATTGTACTTCCGTTGTATCCGTTGCGACGATGCTCTCAGTGAGGAATATATACAAATTTTACCGATAAATTTATTAGGAAAACCTACTACATATATGTAATAGTCTTTCGATATATAAATATATTCACAGCTTACAGTGTTATCAATGATTTACCACTGTTTCAATGACCATTCACACAAAAGTTTTTTTTATGTTAAAGCAGATATAATCGCCTCGTTTTTCTTTTAAACATCGGGCTCGATGCTATATGGTGTTCTAGAAGTTTCCGTCAATATTACGATCGGTGAATGACGAAAATAGTTTGCAGATTTTCCTTTTTAATCAGTTATCACAACTTATTTCTTTTATATCATTTAAATCAAGTTTTGACTGAATGATTAAGTAATGACTTTTAATGAAATAAATAAACGATTGCTTGTTGTCAGTTTCATTAAAAAATTGCCAGTAACTTAGATCCGCCAACCGGAAACGCCACCGTTCTCACGTTTTTGCTATTTCATGGCTGTTTATAGAAAATAAAAGTAGACTTTTAATTTAATGTACGATACTTACAATGCAAGTGAAATCTAAATATAGTTTACGGACATCATCTTGTATCGTGTGTATTCTTAGAGGAGTAAGTAAGAACTCTGGTTCACCCGTTTCGGAGTTTATTTGCAAAATTTATTAATTTATAAGTATAGATTTTCCACCATTAGATATGACCTACTTACCGGAATGCATTAATTTCACATCTGCACAGTATTTTTTCCCAATGTTCTCTCAAATGAAACGAACTTTGACTTCCAACACAGTACCAAAGCTGGATATGTCTGTCATATTGATTTATTATTAAAAATGTTGATAACACCTATCAAAATATTTCCAATTTAGATTAGGAAGTATTATATAATTTCATAAAATATATAAACGAAGTCTTGGCAAAGATTTATTTATAAACAATTGGTAGAATGGGTGTTATGAACATCGGATTCAGGGGGTAATTTGAGACAAAGAGAAACGATGTATATCTTACGAAAATCAATGTGCTTAATAGCAAACCACATGCCTCAACGAGTCTTTAACAAATAAGTGTGTATTATTAGTTTGATGCTCGCTGTCTTTATGTAATTTATGTATTTGATTTTATAGCTACTTCATGGCTACCACGGGTTCTACATCGCCAAAGAAAGGTACATGATTTCTTATTTTAAATAAATTATTTTTACTGGTTACTTAAAATCAGCTATAATTGAATTTTAACCTTTTTGAAAGAGCATTTCCTTACATGGACAGTTTAAGCGAGATAGCATATATCATATCATACTAGAAATTAGATGAAACATTTGTCCGTGTAGTTCATGACAAAACAAAGTTTTTAAGAAAGCAACATTATGTGTGTTTTGTTTTGTTTTGTTTGTTTGTTTTGTTTGTTTTTTACACTTTCAAATGTTGCTGTCCTTAATTCTTCAGCTCCCAAAGTGCGCCGCCAGGTGTCGGAGCCTGTCCCTGTCAAAGAAGTTCCGGGACCCCCCTCCGTGGTCACCTCATCTTCCTCGACGCCAGACACTCGTCATGAGTGAGTTTACCCCTCGCTTTTATTTGATTTAGAACATAACTTGATATATATATAAAAAAATTTATCTAATATTCCTTGTACATTTGAAAAATAAATAAACAATCCATCAACAGAAAAAGAATGGAAAGTCCCAATTCTTATTCACTTCAGTGATAAAAATAACAATTTACTAAAATATTGAAAAGTATAGTTTTAAAGTAAAGAGTATAGGGAACTTATACTGCCGCACTAGTGAGTTAGCTTTTCTAATGTTGCGGTAGGGTCTCCCTATAAATTTCAGGCAGTTTGCAAGTTGCAGCGAAGCCTAGATACCCCTTGGACGGGTGACCGTCCGATTCACGTTATACCGTCACGATGTTTCCTTTTGTTTTCAGTATCTTTAAAAACCTGGCGACAGACACGGCTCGTCGTATCGTTAAAGACCTGGATCTTGATTACAAATTAAGACACTATTCTAAATTTGGCGCAAAGGGCAAGAAAGACAGTGTTGATGCTGACTTTGTAAAGTTATGAAAGGGCACGTGCAAGTGCGTGTAAATTGCTGGTGTAAATGTTTTCGACAATCGTTCTGAAGTTTCCAGATTACAGAATGGTGCTACTTAGTGTTCGAATGTAAAAGACAAGGTTACAGTTGACCGAATAACATTTCTGAAGGCTAAAAAATGATGTTTTACTGTCTTCATATTTTTGTTATGTATTTTATCGTGGACATAGCAATTGTTACAAGTGATTTTATTGAATTTTTATGCTGTACAATTTTAAAAAGCTTTAGATAGTTGCTTATTACTTTTAAGAATTTTTCAATACATTTTTTTTTTGGTGTTTAAAAGTTTTGTGTGTGTTTTATTTGTTTTCTTTTCTCATAATTGACGATAATATGGCTTTTTTTAACTCCCTCTCTTTAAAAGGTTAAGATTTTTTAAAGTCCCGTTGTCGTCCGTTTGTAAGAGACTTCTTCCTTTTCACAACACTGTCCGACATGTAATTCATCAAAGTGTTTAGACAGCATCTTACTTCACTTTTGAGTGGTATATTTTGCGTTTTTCTAAATCGAAGACTTGGGGGTATATACATATAGTTTTTGGTGTGCTCTTCTTTCTGTTTTTCTGGAAAAAAAACTTTGCCCGTAACTTTTGACCGGTTGGACCTAGTGACAAGACCTTTCTTTGGGTACCAGCATATTTAACCTTTTGATCTTGAAGTTTGACCCATTTTTGCAAAATTTTACCGAACTCCAACCTTGGCAATAACTTTGGAATGGAGGGAACTAGTGCCTTTTTCCTTCACATGTGTATTCCTAGTGACAAGAATTTCCCTTGGGTACCAACATACTAGTATTTGGCCTTTTAAACTTGACCTTGGAATTTGACACCTACTTTTGAAAATCTTAAACCTTGGCCAGGATTTTCGTATTTCACATGTGTAGTCATTGTAACAAGACCCTCTCTTGGATTCAATATATGTGATCTTTTGGAGTTTGACCAACTTTTGAAAACATTAACCTTGGCCATAACTTTTGAACGGTTGGTGCTAGGGCTTTCATATTTCACAGGTGTATTCCTTGTGACAAGAACTTCCCTTAAATACCAATATTTGTTTTATCTCATGACATCCAGCTTTGAGTATGACCTACTACTTTTGAAAATCTTTAACCTTGACCATAATTCTGAATGAGTGGTGCAAGGGTTGTTCTATTCACATGTGTATCCCTTGTGACAAATCTCTTTTGGGAACCAACATTTTTGATCTCTTCACCATGGAGACATGCATTTGAGAAACTTTAACCTTGGCCATGAGCTGCAAGGCTGAGTTACATCTTGTCACTGTATTCTTCCATTTTGCTCAATTATAACTTAAAGTTTGTATATATATATATATATATATATATATATATATATATATATATATATATATATATATATATATATATATATATATATAATTGGGGTCATTCAGAATTTCTTTATATACAAATATTTTAATTTTACACTAGTAATGATTTTTGAAGACTTCTTTTCAGTCACATTTCAATAACGTTATTGTGGTTTTTGTTGTTGGGTCCTCAATGCTTCAGCCTTGGAAAATACTCTTGAAACCTTGTGTAGTAGGCGTTTTGTATATATTTTATAAATGTTTTGAATGATTATTAAAAAAACAACCCAGCCCTGTATTTTCTGCATATTCTCTCTTGATTATGTTTTAAGATTTTTATGATGAACAGACGAGGCTATCATGCTTTATCTGTCTTTCTTTATGCATGTGGATTCTGTAGCTTTGTTATATTTTATCATTTTAAAAACTAGTGGACTCTTTAACCTCAGATTTATTCCTTCATGGTGTTGATGAGGATTAGAATAAAAACACTGTAACGATTTGTTTTTTTTTCATTGGGAAAACTTAAATATCAACATGCATATACTTCGATAAAGTCATTTTATGAAAATATTTTATATGAAGGCCTCATCATTTATATTTCATTTTTATTAAGCACTAAAAACAAAACTTATAAGACTTATTGGGCATTTTTTTTTCCATTGAATTTATTTACTAGAATAATACTGTAGCTACAAAAACAATTTCAGATATATGTATGTGAATACTTCAATTCACGGATCCACAGGAATTTACGCCAATATGGCAATATTTCGAATACAAATATTTGGGAATTGTTACAATTTGATCAATATCAATTTCGTAAGATCTGAAAAGAAATTCTGTTACAAATGAAGTAACAAATTATAAACACACGGACTAGTATTCACTTTACCCTGATATTTTGCATAGAACCTCACGTTAGCCGTCAGGCACACGTTTTACAAAATAAAAAAAATCATTGAAATTCCTTGTAATTTTTATTTTCATGTGTTTAAAGGGAATAAAAAACAATGCTATGGAACTATATTTTCCAAAGTTTTTGCTAAGCAAGATTTTAGAAACAGTTTTAATTTTGAAAATGACATTTAACTGTATTAAGGGCGGTAACTCTTATTAAAAGAAGGAAGAAACATTTATTAAAAAGTAGGGATTTTTTTTTTATTGTAACAAAATCCGTTTCTTTTGAATTTCAAATAAATGATACTGATTGATGGACAAATCTGATATAACCTAAAAAAACAGAAGGAAGTTACCCAAGATTTGCTACAGTAAATTTCCACCATATCACTGAGAAGTTTTGTATTGACATCAAGCTTTGTTATCAAAACACACGATAATGGAATGTACCGGGTATTATATTTACAGATGATTCTGGCATTGTACATAAATTGTCTCCATTGAGAGACCAAGCAGATAAAATGTGGCACATTTAGGAGAAAATTAAAATAAGTAGGACAGGATGCTGGCACAGCCTAAGACAGATAAAAAGTACTGATACTTAGGTCCTTATTCTATACCGCGAACAATAGTCACATTACAAAACAGTCACAGGGCATTATTTGATGAGAACGGATTACATGTATGCTTGATACCACACTAAGCTACCTTACAATAAAATAGTCTCTCGATAAGAATCATATCATTTACACACAAACTGTCATTCTGTAATACATAAATACACGTAAACAACAGAAATAAATGAGTCAGAATCTAATGTACACACAATAAATATCAAACATCATTGCATCTCTCATATAACAAAATACACATGTACAATGTTTAAATGCTTCCACAAAATGAACTGAGCACAAGACAATCTCACGATTTAAATGTTAAATTCTGTTAAAATAAATACAGCATCAATTGTCTAAAATATGTGTGACTCTTATCAATAAAATTTAAACATAATTCTGATAGATCTGTAGGAAGTCAAATAAAATTTATACCTCATCTTAAAATAAGAAGAAAATCGTCCATTAACTCAAAACAAAACCTACTTCTCATTGTGTTTACATTTGAAAATCCCAGTTAAACTTTTGATAAAAGTCAGTGGACAGATTGAGACATTTGATGGTGCTCAATGAAATACAGTTTGCCAATGGCAAGAGTATGCCGTGAACATAGAACACATTTACTGCACTGCAGAGGGATAAAATTGGGAATTAAGACCTAGATAAATATAGTGTGTTTCCGGTTCCCCGACTGACCCTAAAATATATGAGCAAACCCTAAAAAAGATTATCTGCAGATATCTTTCCAGGAGTAAATTATTCCAGTTTCACTATTAGAAATCCTAATCTCCATAACTTCTGTGTTTCAAAAAATGCATATTCTATACACATTAATCAAAAATGTTTGACAGCGATTTCCCAGGGGAAAAATGGTAGCGTGCTTCCCAATTAAATACTAAAATAAAATAAAATGTTTTCCCCTACCTACCTACCCTATTTTTTCTCAGGATGGAATAGGAAACACACTATTTATTTATCTTGGCCAAATCCCCTATGGTTGATTGGCCAGTAGTTTGTATATGTTAGTAACATCAGTGTTTTCTACTGCCGTTAGTGAGTATGAAGTGTCTGGTTAGTAACACAGAAGTCTGAACGTTCATCACAAGTCATGTACCGGCACAAAGAACGCGGACAATGCAAAAACAAGAAAGACCACTCCTCCTATTAATGTCACTGCAAAAAATATTATGGAGATTTAGAAACATTACTGAATCCTGACAAATAGTTATTGAAAAGGATTTCTTATTCTAAATTTAGGATGAAAACGTATAAAATCTTTAAGAATTAAACAAGCATTGATTCTATCATGTCTATATATTAATGTTAAATTATCTCTCATAAATAATGATTAAGATTTTTTTTTCTTGCAATCAATTACTTTTGAATTCAGTACTACTTACCTGTTCTGACAGAAATTTTTTGAGCTACGATCCTCCCTCCTAATACTGCGATGCCCGTACAGATGGCATGACCCAGAGTACCCCCAATGATTACCCCCATAACATCCTGGTAAAAGTAAATACATGAAAATGTTCATTAAAAAATATACTTTAATTTTCAAATTCAGCAGTTCATGTTTATCAATACATCTACAGATTAGCACAGACAAGTATGTCAGCTTATAGATAAATGTAAACCATTACACCAGCCCATTCTCACAAAGACGGATACAGGTCCATAGAGACTTTTCAACACAAAATTCAGACATTTAAAAGACTTTTAAAAACCTTTTCATCAGTTTCCTAAACTTGTGTGCACAAAGAGTGATGAATGTTTTTTTTGTAACGGTATTTTATTTTTCAGACTTTCAAAAGTGGTGGACACTGTGCATAAAACATTTAAAGAACAGAATATTTGAAATGACATTAATCAAAATATATAAAAGTATGAAAAAGTGTTAAGTGATATGAGTTAATACTCTTAAATTTAGCCATGATAGATACTTGTATGTTTAAAATGTTGTTTATTTAGGATCAATTACAGTTCACACATTTATTCATTGAGATGTACTGTGACATATGGCTGTATAATATGAATTTTAGGACTGTTTTTTCTCCATCATTCAACATATTTTCTTATGATTCATTGAAAGTAATTCCCAATAATTCAAGTACATACAGAAGTATAGGCACTTCCAGGTAAATTATTTTTGTGAAAGAAATAAGATAGAAACACAGAAAAAAAATTTAAACGGAATACTAATTGAGATAGGACATCAAATGTGCTAGCTGAACTTGTAAGTACAGATTGCTTGGAAAACAATGAAATTCACTTTTCTATGGCAAAAGCTCCTAGACTTATAGACAACCATTATTCTCAATAACTTTTCAAAAAATGGGGGCTAACTGAAACGTGAAATACTGTGGATCTTTTCACAAAAAATCTTACGACATATTTTTATCTTAAGTGAATTTTTATGATAAAAATCGTTTTCACAAAAATTCTTAAGAAATTCTTAAGTGCAAAATCGGTCGTAACTTTACGAGAGCCCCAAGCCTCTCTTAAGTATTTTAAACAGATTTAATTGTAAAATTATAACCACAAAAACCAAAATACACATTAAATTGAACTTTTTTAAGCAACTTCTATTTATATTTTATATTTTTATCACAATCAATGTCGAAAAATTAAATGAAATACACTACAAAATATTTACGATTGAAGTTTCACTTAAGATTTTCGTATGACCTACTTTTACGTCAGACTTGTGATTGTGACGTCAGATTTTAAACTTCCCTGCTTCACAAACGATTGCATTCGATATTTGTTGTCAGTAATGTTTGTTATGCTGACATATGTTGAAAACTAAGTTTTATTTTTATTTTCACCCATTGATTTAAGGATAATAAAGCATATTGAAGTCGTTGCTAGGGATGAAGTCTGTCGTAAGTAAAATCTTAAGTTCAATCTGCTACGAATGCGTTCGTGAAACGCACTTAAGATTTGTCGTAAAAGATTCTTAAGTTAAAATCCTATGCAAAAACTTAAGATTTTTTGTGAAAAGGGCTACTGGTTTACAAGTACAAGATGATCTTAAGTAATGAATAATTGAATTTCTCACCTAAAAATAAAAATTGTCAGAAACAAAACACTTCCCTACCTCTCTAGCTGCTAAAACAATGGTTGTTATTTGAGATCTATCTCCCCATTCTGCTAAAAATGTCAGCGTAAATGCCTGTAAAAATATGGTTCCCAGAATTCCTTGGAACCAGCGACGGCCTGGCGTCCGTATAATGCCTGTTTCTATGTCCTCTACTGGAGTGTTCTGCTTCTCTAACTGTAATAAAAAAAAAACAATAATGTAACAGGTAAGGTAAGTAATTACACAGGTGAGATCTACAGTGACACAGGTTAGTATTTACACAGGTAAGATAAGTAGTTACACAGGTAAGATAAGTAGTTACACAGGTGATATAAGTAGTTACACAGGTAAGATAAGTAGTTACACATGTAAGACAAGTAGTTACACAGTTGAGATAAGTATTTACACAGGTGATATAAGTAGTTACACAGGTAAGATAAGTAGTTACACAGGTAAGATAAGTAGTTACACAGGTGATATAAGTAGTTACACAGGTAAGATAAGTAGTTACATGGGTGAGATAAGTAGTTACACAGGTAAGATAAGTAGTTACACAGGTGAGATAAGTAGTTACACAGGTAAGATAAGTATTTACACAGGTGAGATTAGTAGTTTCACAGGTAAGATAAGTAGTTACACAGGTAAGATAAGTAGTTACACAGGTGATATAAGTAGTTACACAGGTAAGATAAGTAGTTACATGGGTGAGATAAGTAGTTACACAGGTGAGATAAGTAGTTACACAGGTAAGATAAGTAGTTACACAGGTGAGATAAGTAGTTACACAGGTAAGATAAGTAGTTACACAGGTGAGATTAGTAGTTACACAGGTAAGATAAGTAGTTACACAGGTAGGATAAGTAGTTACACAGGTGATATAAGTAGTTACAAAGGTGAGATAAGTAGTTACACAGATAAGATAAGTAGTTACACAGGTTATATAAGTAGTTACACAGGTAAGATAAGTAGTTACACAGGTAAGATAAGTAGTTACACAGGTGAGATTAGTAGTTTCACAGGTAAGATAAGTAGTTACACAGGTAAGATAAGTAGTTACACAGTTAAGATAAGTAGTTACACAGGTGAGATAAGTAGTTACACAGGTAAGAAAAGTAGTAACACAGGTGATATAAGTAGTTACACAGGTGATATAAGTAGTTACACAGGTAAGATAAGTAGTTACACAGGTAAGATAAGTAGTTACACAGGTGATATGAGTAGTTACAAAGGTAAGATAAGTAGTTACACAGTTAACATACAGACCCTGAAACGTGCTACTACCCCAAAAAAGCGTGTGACTTTCGCGCGCTTTTCGTTTCGTGCAAACCGTGTAGCGTTTCGTGTAAACCGTGCAGCGTTTCGTGCAAACCGTGTAGCGTTTCGTGTAAACCGTGCAGCGTTTCGTGTAAGCTCCAAAGCGTTTCGTGCAAACCGTGTAGCGAGCGTGCGAGAAGCGTGTGAGAAACGTGCGACTTTCGTGTAAGAACCGTGTGAGAAACGTGCGACTTTCGTGCAAGAATCGTGTGAGAAACGTGTACGATTCATTCGGAAGTCCTTTTATTTTAAATATGGCTATCGATGGATCAACATGTCATTCTGTGTTGTTTCTAATTAATATTATCCGGATATATAATGGTGGCATTTTAAGGGTGAAAAAAATTCGGAAACAACAAAATAAAATTACTCGGTAATGTATTACATATTTGTTTGATTTTCTTTCTTTTTTATTTCAATAAAGAAGGACAGAAATGTGTTAAAAGTAATTAATTATATGCACATAAATTTTAAGGTATTTGATTCAATACATTTTTTAAAGGGAGCAATACTGAACATTTTTTAAAAAAAATTCATTTGGAATCCGGTCTTGTCTTTTTCATTCATTTATTTGAATCACTTCACCATTTTACAATTATGGGATATAGAGATTACAAGAACATATCGGTGATCAATACAAAATAATAGATAGATATTGCAGGAGTGAAAAATAAAATGCAAAATTTAGTGCGTTGCTATAAATGTGAAGTATTGGAATTCTAGGCCGGGAGCACAGTTAATTGATTTTCTTTATAAACGAACATAATTTTCTTATATTACTAGATTGTGATACAAATAATTTTGAAACGATGAGTCATTTATAGTCTTTTTTTATGCATAAAATTGGTTGATTTATAATAGTCATATAAATGAATTATAACTCACATGCATCGGCAAATACAGGGTTAAATATTTCCGGGAAGGGGGGGGGGGGGTGATCAAATGAAAACACGAATTGAGTTTCTGTTTTAAACAAGTGTTTTATTGATTATTTTCTTTCTTTTTTTTTTTAAATATTGTTTCTTTCGGGATGCGCCCGATGCACCCCTTAAAAATATATTGGAATCTTCTTTACGCTTTCAACACTCTTCTTACGACAGTGATCAAGGTTATTTACAACAGCGATCACGGACTCCGCGTGCTGGGACTTAAACTTGTTCTGCTACATGTATTATCTCTTGTCAATCATAGCTAAGATGACACCCGACAATAACGATTGATTTTTAATTCGTGAAATTGAACGTTTTATTAGTATTTAATGGGTATAAATAAATACCCGTGGATCTTATTTCTTAGATTTATCCTATTGTCTGTAAACAGTGAATTAATTTTCCAGTGTATTCGTGAATAAAATTATAAAGAAATAAATTCTGAATAATTATATATTAGTTGTTTTATTAATCACGCAGTTCTAGAGCATTTTTTTTCTTCAGTTTTTAGGATTGGACATGTATACATATATATTGAAGGTAATGTTAAGAGCCGCGACTATTGATTACTTAATTATTGATTTTTTTTTTTTTTTTTTTTTTTTTTTTTGGTCTAGACGGGGTTTGAAATGGTGGTGAGTATATTGTTTTTATTTGATAAACACAATGCCTCAACAGAGAACTAAATAATTACAATACCTATCCCCCGGCTTTTCTACCATATAAATTTTAATGATAAATTAAGGTTTAACTCTGTAATGAAACGATATACTTACCATTCTGAATAATGTGCATTTAATGAATTGCACGTATCGGGTCCCGCTGGATATGGCTATCCTTTTATTTTCTTAGAACGGGCACTTGTTTCTATGATAATTTTTCCCCGATGGTATACTTACTGAAACAAGTGCCTGTTATATTTAACCATGTACAGATTTGAAGATACAACAGTAAGATCTCGGTAATCTACCCCCCCCCCCTTTCCTGCACAATGTTCCTGTTTGATACAGTTTACTTATTACCTTTGCAAATTCTAAACAGAACCTTATTTAATCAAATGAAATAATTTTTTTACTAAATAAAAAAAATTATAAATCAATCAATAAGAAAAAAAAAAAAAAAAAGGAAAAGAAAATAAATCCGTTTACAGAAATCATACGCAATTTAATATTTTTTTTTTTCAAATCAATAACTGAGTTTATTTGTCAGTAATAAAACGACATTTTAAATATCAAACTATAATTGTAAAAACAATAAATGTTGTAAAAGATTATGAATTACAAATATAATTATTTTTTTCAGTGCGTAATTTAGAGTCTAGTGAGAAAAGGTTTGTACACAGACGATGATAAGAATTTCACCGCGCGGGTCACATACTCAGTGACAACTATTAATTAATATCAACTGAACATTGACTATTTTATCTGTAAATATAGTACTGGTGTAGCGAGTTCTAATCTTAATCTGAATGATTGCAATTCTTAACTAATCTTTGATTAATCCGTAATAATTGAAATAAAGTCCGAGAGATTCCGAATAGAAAATCCAGATCGAGGCCAAAGCGTGCGAGAATCGTGTACAAAGCGTGTGAGAAACGTGTACAAAGCGTTTCGTGCAGGCTTTCGTGTAAACCGTGCAGCCTTTCGTGCAAAGCGTTTCGTGTAAACCGTGTAGCGTTTCGTGCAAACCGTGTAGCGTTTCGTGTAAACCGTGCAGCGTTTCGTGCAAACCGTGTAGCGAGCGTGTACCGTTCGTGCAGCGTGCGTGTGGGGTAGTAGCACGTTTCAGGGTCTGTAAGTAGTTACACAGGTGAGATAAGTAGTTACACAGGTAAGATAAGTAGTTACACAGGTGAGATAAGTAGTTACACAGATAAGATAAGTAGTTACACCGGTGAGATTACCAGTTACACAGGTGAGATAAGTAGTTACACAGGTGAGATAAGTAGTTACACAGGTAAGATAAGTAGTTACATAGGTGAGATAAGTGGTTACACTGGTGAGATAAGTAGTTACACAGGTGAGATAAGTAGATACACTGGTAAAATAACTAGTTTCACAGGTAAGTAGTTACACAGGTGAGATAAGTAGTTAAAAGAAGCCTATGCACTGTAATAGTGAGAAATGAATCTAAATCAAATTAGGCCATAAGTGTCTTTTTAATTGAATCCCACAGTGTGATGAAAGCAATTTAAAAAAAAAAAACAATTGACCCAGAAATCAGAATACTGGTTTTATAAAGTGATTTAAAATAGTTCTTAGCCCTTCTTTTAAAAAAAAAAAAGTAAAAAAAAGGAACAGTAAAGCCAATAATATTAATTTGCCATGATTTAATTCATGTTTTTGATGTTTTAAGGTAACGTTTTTCTGACCTCTTCCTCTCTTTTCTTAAGATCAGCTTGAACTTCTTCATACTCTTCTTGTCCTTCATCAGGGGACATCTCATAACCTGAAATAGAAATTATCTTGTAGGATTCTAAATGTCATGGCAATATATCACAACCTTCAACATTAATGAAACACATCAGAAGTAGGTCAAGGTCTATAAGACTTATATGCATGTTGCATGAAGAAAACAAGATCACACACTTCCTAACATTTATAGACTTCAACATTGTGGATGTAAAAAGGAAGAGTTTGTAACAAGATTGTGACAACATTCCTGAATGTCAAACTCCTGCATAATTAATAAATAATAACATTGACGTTTTAATTTCTTACAAGGTTAACATTTATCACCTGGGCCTGTGACTACTAAATGGAGTGATGGATCATTAGTGATACACACTGGTCACTAAGTGACCTAAAAAGTGGACATATTAAATAATGATCATTCTATAATTTGTAATACAGATTAGCGTTCTTACCTTCTTTTATCATTTTCATTCCAAACACAGCAAACAGGATCGTTGAAGCATAGTAAGTCACTTTTTTTGGTATAATGGTGGTAGCATATCCCAGAAGAGCTGGAGAAAGAAGAGAAAATAAATCAGGCAGAAAAAATCACACAGTTCTTGTTCATATATATCTACATGTAACTTACAGACAATGATGTAAAGTTAGTAATTTTACTCTGAAATCTTTTCTAAGAAGATTTTAAACTCAGTAACAAAATTACCCTACCAGTAGAAACAGTAATTCTTACCAGAAAGAACTGTCATTAATCCTAGAGCACCCAAAGCTCCAGAGAATACTGTCAGACGTGAATGTCTCATTGCCATGATGGCCGCGATGAAGAATGTCTTATCCCCGAGCTCAGATACAATGATGACGGAGAGGGAGGCAATGAAGGCATGAAGAAATCCGAGATTCCCCTTCCTCTTCCTCAGTGTGTGGATAATAGACCCCTCATCTGAGCTCTCCTCATTCTGACAAAGTACAGAAAAACAGAATTCACACACATAAATATATGCATTCTACAGTGTGTGGATAAAAGACCCCTCATCTGAACTCTCCTCATTCTGTCAAAGTACAAATATAATACAAGATGTATGGTATACAACTGTGCTCATCTCAAGCTCGGTGGCACCGTAAAACATATTAAAATTTGTTATATTTGTTGTACTAAATAAAGACTATGCTTGGTTTTTATTACTATTATTTTTTTTTACAATTATGCCAACTTCTGTTTGAAAAGTAAAGAGTTACCTAAATTTTAAAACTACTGTTTAATACTCATTAACTACAAAGTAATAAGAGGAACCTCATTAAATCTAATATCTTTAATTCCACAAAACATGTCCATCTACTGGAGACTGAATCATTTTACTGAAAGATTGAATTTGGTGGTAACCAAAACCATTTAACATTTAAACATTTTTTTTTAGCATGATATGAGTGTAGTTATTTTTTGATTAAGGAATGAATTTAATAGCTACCCAATTTACACGGTATAAACTGGGTAGCTATTAATTCATTCCTTATTATTTAATTTTCATTCATTTAGTGTAAGAAAAAAAGATGATTGCCCTCAAAAAATGACTTCAAATTCTAAAAATTTAAATGTAACATCAGGCGGATCATTACATTTTTAACATGTCATTGTGCTTAGGCAACCCAATTAATACGATATAAAGTAATTTTTTTACCCAATCAAATACCGTGTCATAACAAGAATTAAATTATATGACTAAAAAAATTGTAGTTCTGCCAATACTGACCAAGGTAGAATATATCTGCCATGAGAATTAGTGTATGACCACAAACATAGCTAGGTCATACTTAAAATGATATCTTTTGTGTTTCACTAATATGAATGAAAAGCATCAGATCATGGGTAAAGAGGCATCAAATCAAACGTGTTTCTAGGCGGACTGACCTTGCTACCAATTTATACATCTTAATTACACGTCTGCTAGGTCAAATGTGACAGGTGTCAGATATCTGCATGCACGTGTGTTCACCGTCTCTTCGCTTCTTACCTCTATCAGCTGTCTATGCAAGTGAAAGTACACAAGTAAACATTTATGAAATTATCAATGAAATATCGTTACCTTTTTAGAATCGTGTTCTTTAGAGCTCTCCGACACATCTTTGATCGGTTCTGAGATACTTTCTAGCACCAAACAGCTTGAAACTATGAACACGACAGTCACAATAAACGTAGCTTTTCCCTTCATCTTGGAGAACCCGGAAAACGTCTTTTACAATTGGTGAATATAACAATCAGAGGATTTCCCAAAAATCGATAATTCGGCAAATATAAAGATAAAAGAGCTGTCATTCATGCATTTACACTCACATCCTTGGATTGACACTGGCCTGTACGTGAAAGCTTGACGTCACAGTGCGACACCTGTTCACTTCCGGGTTATTTTTTCGACTTTTGATCCCGATTATTTACTACAGAAAAACACAGCCGCTCTTTGAGAAAAGTTAATGCTTCTTAGTTCAGTTTGATGCCGATAAATCAGTATTTATTTTACTTAATTACGTATATTGCTGGGGATTGAAATCATAATCGTCATTTTTCTCTTTACAAACATCCTTGGACGCTGTTCAAGTCAAAAACGATGGCATAATGTGAAATAATTCAAGAGAGACAACTCCATCATGTCAACTTCAGAGTGGCCCGAAGTGGTGGGACTTGTAAGTAATCATTATCTGATCATGCAAGAATATGACAACATATAGAAGGTAATTTTCTCGTCGTCTGTCTTTTTTAAACAATATTTACAAATGAATTGAGGAGAGAGAGAGAGAGAGAGAGAGAGAGAGAGAGTAATAAACTGCATACATAAATCTTTCTTGAGTTCGATTCACTTAATATTTACAGTTGAAAACGTAATTACAATATTACAACATTTACAGGCATATTAATAGCGATTCTCTGTAACCACTTAAACTTCTTTGCCACGCATAGACACTGATTTTGATGAAACTTTGCCCATTGTTACAACTTGACACCAGAAACATATATCAAAACAAATTTCGTTGCTATGTGTCTTGGTTGCCATGGTAACAGCCAGAAAAGTTGGAAAAATTGAGATTTTCAGCTATTTTGAATCTTTATTAAGCCTTAATAAAGACTAAGAAAAAACAAACAAACCATTCTCACAAAAACATGACACCTTGTTGCCACTTATGCTATAAAGAAACTATTTAGAATTCATATCTAAGTAAGTGGTAACCATGGGTACATTTGTAATACATATTAGATGCTGAAAAATGCTGAAAAACGCTCAATATTCACTAATGATAGGTGTTACATGATCAAACTCAATCAACAACCTAAGAAAAACTATAAAAACATTTGATCTTTAGTAATTAAGTATCGGCAATATTCATCTAAAAATAACTTTCATGGTTGCCATGGTAACACAGTATAATCATGCAAAATCTGTTGCTAAGATTGGGTTAATGCTATTATCTTGAGGAAAAACAATAAAATTCATGACTGGCACATAAACATCCTTACATGTAGGACCTTGCAACACCCACAATAGGGTTGGATACCGGTACTCGGTACCAATACCGTACCGAATAGTTACTTCAAAAATACCGGTGAAATACCGTTTCATTTAATACCGGTACTTATAACGGTATTTCTCAATCTTTGAAACATTTTAATACATTCAAAATGATTTTTAAAAAAGAGATTCCAGACTCGCTAAAATAAAATTCTCCGTGCATTGAAATGGTAGGCTAATTGGATGCTTAGTACAATACTTGCTTTTGACTGCCGATATTCGAGGTAAATCAATACGTATATTTAAAAATAAAAAACATTCACATTAATCGTGTTTTAATTTTATTTATAAAAACTGATAATAATTGTAAATAAAAAAAAGCAAAATGTCGCAAAAATGTGATGTGCATATCTATCCATTTTTAATGTTTCGTCGTTTAGTGCGACCAAGCAAAAATGGGTCCTGGCAAGTGGCAACTGGGTGAAGCGGTCAGCTGTATCAAGTTAAATTAATTTGTTTGAGATTCAATTTATTTGTTTTGTTGATGATTTATTAAAAGATTGAAATATAACATAGTTTATAAACTCATTTTAGATTATAACAATGAATGGTTGAAGATTGGTGAAAGCACATTTGTTATCAAATGAGCTCTCATTCTCATTCATCGAGGTATAGTACCGTATCGTTAAAAATACCGTATCGTTTTAAAAATACCGGTATGGTATCGTACCGTTTCATCCTTAACGGTATCCAACCCTAACCCACAACATAAGAAAAATTGGGATTAATTGTTACTTTGCAGTGTAACCATGGAAATAACGTACCAGTTGTTTAAAGTGATATTTTTTTTACTGTCTTAGGAATTTACTTACCTTTTAATCAAGAAACATATTATTTGACTCGCCTTGAATAGTACTTATCCGGTAGAACTAAAGTTGAATATCATATATTGCTAAAGTTTGTTGAAAAACACAGCACTGTTGCTATGGTTACCAAGAAGTGAAAATGTTCGATTTTGTTAATTTTATATCAATATTAAACCCTACGTGCCAGCTTTTTGCATCCAGTTAGAGATTGGGTGGTAGTCAAAATTGAAAGTCAGGTTAATTGTTCATATATATCAATCATAAAAGTTTTGGGAATCTACGTACAAGGGTACGTATCCAAGGAAACAGAATATTTTTCAGAATTTTATGCATATTTTTTCGGCTAATTTCCATAGCAACGCTCTATTAAAAGAATTGAATTTGATTTTTTTGAAATGTGAAAATTAGGGTCACACCAACGCCTTTAAAAATTGATCATCAGTTATATAGAAATATGCTTTTTAAAAAGATAGAATAAGATTGAAACACTTAGGGAGTAAATTTGAAATCCCTTCGTGGTATTAAAACCATGGCAACCATTGCCAACCTATAAGAAATATCATATTTCGTCCTTGGTATATGTTACAAGGATCTTTTGTCTATTATTTGTTAGCATCTCAACCTAAAATTGTTTTCATTCTTAAAGGTGCTTGGACACAGATTTGAAGTTAATATTTTCTCAGATTTTCTGTATAATTTCATGACTTATATGTTGCTATAGCATTTCATACTAAAATATAATAAAAATCTTATTTCATCTCGAAGTTATTGAAACTTCAAATTTCTGGACGCGTTTGATTGACACATCCTTGCACTTTCACAATTTTTAATTTTATTCTTAATACTTAAGAAAAGTGGCAGTTTTGTTGTGTATAAATGAAAAGTATTAAAACTATAATCCAGAAAATTCAGAGTAGAAATGTTCGAAAGCAAAACCCACTCACAGTATTGTCAGTCCGTGCTCAGTGGTGTGTGCAGACTTTAACAACTGAACTCACCCGGTGAATCGTAAACATTAACAATAACAGAGCTCGTGCCCGGTTTACAGAAACAGTTTACGTTTCACGGGTGTATTCAATTTGTTAAACTCTGTACACAACACTGAGCACGGGCTGACGAAATTAGTGAGGGGGTTTGCTTTCGCACATTTCTACTCTGAATTTTCTGGATTATAGATGTAATGTGTTTCATTAATACAAAACAAAATCGCTTCTTTTCTTAAATATTAAGGATAAAAATAAAATTTGTGAAAGTGCAAGGATGTGTTAATCAAACGCGTTCAGGAATTCGTAGTTCCAATAATTTCCAGATAAAATAAGTTTTTAATTATATTTTCGTGTGAAATGCTATTGCAATATATAAGTCGTTATATTATACAGAAATTTTGAGAAAATATTAACTTCAAATCTGTGTCTAAGCACCTTTAAGTGTATGACTTATTAAAATTAAATGAACAAAATTATTACTTCTGAATACTTTGTTTCCATAGTAACGTATGTAATAGTTGATTAACCAAACATGTTTATCATGCATTTAAAACATCAGGCCTTCAACTTCCAGAAACAGTCATTGTCACTTGTTTGCTTTGCTGCAAACGTTAACTGAAGGACTTTTAACATGTTGAAAAATGACATTTTTCAAACTTTAGGACATGTTGCTATGGTAACCATGACACGTAGCAACCAATTTTTACCTGATTTGAGTTAATGGTATCAAAGACTTTCATCATAGAGAGTTTGGAGAAATTCTGAGACTATGCATGCCACAGCTCCTATATAAAAGTTAAAGTCATTACAGAGAATGGCTCTTAAATATTAAAATTGATTAAATTTTCAAGCATAATAAAGTCTTAAATTTAATATATACGAGTGATTCAGGGTAACCTGTAAATAATCTACTCTGAATCCACTGGGAAACTTCTTGATTAATTGAAAATGATTTCGTGAAGTGTTTATTTTTATAATAAACATAAGTGATAGAAATCAGTTTAAAATAACTCAATACAATTGATATATTTTCTGAAATATTACATTGATCTTCTTCATTTAGGAACTTTTTGATTTCAATCCCCGGCAATATAATTAAGTAAGTAAAATATAACTTTTTTTTTGCTACGCAGCCCTGGAAAGAAGCTGAGAAGCGTATAAGATCCGAGTACCCTAATATTTCAGTAAGTCAAACATTTTGAACAGTGATTTATGTTTACATGTATATATTATTTTCCCCATTAAATTCATTGTAGCATAATTTTTCTTTTTTTCTAAAACCATTTAAGTTTTTAAATTTCGCGTGTAGGAACTGAATAATATATTCGAATGTCTTTATAAAAAGTCGCAGTATGATAATTCTTTTGCCTTTTTAATTATTTTTATATTTTTCTCCTCTTCAGAAATATATAGACCCATGCAACGATTTTTTGTTGTTGTCATTTTATCATTGTTTACAGATCCAGGTTCTGCCGGAAGGGAGTTGTGTGACGATGGACTACCGGACAGACCGGGTCAGGCTATTTACAGACGGGGACGGAAAAGTAGTGCATATTCCCACGATTGGATAAATCTGTTGTGGGTCATCACTGAAAATATTATAAAATATTTAAAAAAAAAAACCCTAAGACAAGATTATATTGCAATCGTGTTCAAAATACACACAAGAAATCGTGTTAAAATTTGGAAAAAAATGACGTTAAATTTTTATATATGCTAGATCTATTAAAAATTGGACTAGATTTCAATTATGATAATATAATGTATCAAAGTTAGTTGACGTCGAAAAAAATTAGCTGCAGAACTTTAGCCTTATGATTTTATATTTTAGTCTTCAGCCATAAAGCTACAGATCCTGTAACGCAAATATGGTGCAATTTACGGCGCAAGATTTTCTGCGCACTTTGGGGATTATTTCGCCACTTTCCAGCATTGGTCAATCAACTACCTTTCATTTCCTAATTCTAGACATATTCTATAACAAATCTGTATATTCTATCCACCTCCTAACCGTTAGTCGTCTCTACAGACCAATAAACTCGCTTGTGAATTTGCTGTCGGATGGCATAAAATTCACAAGCGAGTTTATTGTTCTGTAGAGACGACTAGAAAGGGTTAGGAGGTGGATAGAATATACAGATTTGTTATAGAATATGTCAAGAATTAGGAAATGGAAGGTAGTTGATTGACCAATGCTGGAAAGTGGCGAAATAATCCCCAAAGTGCGCAGAAAATCTTGCGCCGGAAATTGCATCATATTTGCTTTACTGTAGCGTTATGGCCAAAGGCTAAAATATAAAACCATAACGCTACAGTTCTGCAGCTAGAAAAAATATGCTTGTGTAAACCTGTATGTTTTTTTTAATGTGATGTGTTTAAATTTAAACTAACCCAATGTATAGGTGCTTGGGAACGCTCCCATACTACCCAGCTTCGTACGCCCAAAGCACTTAATATCAGTCAGTGAGAATACTCAGTTATCAAGAAAATATAGATCAGATCCAGCCTCCGAAGCAAGTCTGGTTATGTGCATTCCAAGTAGCATCATCCGTACAAGTTTGGTCAGGGTAGGCTTTATGGTTACTTGGAAATGGACCCGCCCCAAAAACTTTAACCTTGTCACTCATCTGGAAAATGTAGTTCAGATCCAGCATCCGAAGCATGTCTACTAGTATGCATTCCTAGATGCATCATCCTTGCAAGTTTGATCAATAAAGGACTTATACTTTGGAATGAACCTGCTCCTAAACCTTAATCTGGTCATTCATCTAGAAAATATAGGTCAGATCCAGCACCCAAAACGAGTCTGGTAGTGACTGTATCCCTTGCATCATCCATACAAGTTTGGTCCAGGTAGGGCTTACACTTACTTTGGAATGGACTTGGGCATAAAACTTTTACCGGGACAGCGACGCGAACGCCGGGGTATAATATAAGCTCGATCTTCTCGACTTCACCAAGGTGACCTAAAAAGGAAAACAAATTTGTAGTTTTGGGATTTAATTGTTTGACCCCGAATTGGAAATCTACTCAGGTTTTTTTTCCCTATTTAGACCTCTTCCACTAGCACAAAAACACCAGTCTAAGCTATCGTTGGAACTTATGAGAGGATTAACATAAAGGTCAACCCTTGTTAAGGAGATCTTACGCCATATCCCAGGCTTCGACGTCGATGAGTACCGTCAGCTTCCACTAATTTATGGAGCAGTTTCATACCCAAGACCTAACTATTTTACATGGGAATCCATTTTGACATGTTTTGTCGAATGGTGACATTTTTGGACGAGAGTTCAGGTTCAAGTTTTTTGAGTACGTTCGGTCCATAGTGCCTTACAGCTACGTAGATAAATTCGTAGACATATTATTTCTTTGGATGCAGGTAATAACAACCTTTCATTTCTCAGAAACTGTATGTGCAACCACTCAAATGAGCCTTTAACTTAACCAATGTATGTATGATACATTTGGCGAGGAATTCTAGCTTCCGATGCTAATGTTTTCAAGACACGGGTATGTAACGAATTAAATGACTAATAAATATTCGCTATTCTTCACCATTGCGTGTGAGATATTACAAACGGTTTGGTAAGCTCGTAGATTTTTTATGCCCCCGTAAACAAAGTTTCGGGGGGTATATAGTTTTTGCCCTGTTCGTCCGTCTAGCTGTTTGTCTGTCCGCAAAAACTTTAACCTTGCCCATAACTTTTGATTGGGTGGGGCTTTGGCTTTCATATTTTACAGGTGTATTCCTTGTGACAAGACCTTTTTTGGGTACCACCACATTTGACCTCTTGACCTTGGAGTTTGACCTACTTTTACAAAAAAATACCACACTTTTACTTTGGCCATAACTTTTAAACGGTTGGTGCTAGGACTTTCATACTTCTCATACATATTCTGTGTGACAAGCCCTTTCATTGGATTTCAACAACTTTGACCCTTTGACCTTGACCTTGGTAGATTGACCTACTTTTAAAAAACTTTAACCTTGGCCATAACTTTTTAACGGTAAGGGCTAATGCTTTCATACTTCACATATGTAATTCTTGTGACAAGACCTTTCCTAGGATACCAACAACTTTGACCCTTTGACCTTGACCTAGGAGTTTGACCTACTTTTAAAAAACTTTAACCTTGGCCATAACTTTTGAACGGTTAAAGCTAGGGCTTTCATACTTCAAATATGTATCCCTTGTGAGACCTTTCTTTAGAAACCAACAACTCTAACCCTTTGACCTTGACCTAGGAGTTTGACCTACTTTTAAAAAAAACTTTAACCTTGGCAATAACTTTTGAACAGGTGGTGATAGGGCTTTCATATTTCACAATTGTATTTCTTGTGAGAAGGTCTTACTTTGGGTACCAACATATTTGATTTGCATTTGAGAAAGTTTAACCTTCGCTTTGTTGCCATACAGGGGCATCAGTGTTTCACAAACACATCTTGTTTATTCGTTGATATACTGCTTTTTACTGCTTTTTAACGGAAGCATATTAATGCCACCTAATATAGTCTCATTTGGTTAAACAAATTCATGTATGTCTGTCTGATCTCTTAATTAGGTATGATAAGAATGCTCTCATTTACAGAGTTGTATGAATTTAAGTGAAACCCACGAAAAACGGATTTTTTAAAACAGGGTTTTAAGGTCTTAAAATCAAGGGCCTGGGGCTTCCCATTTGGGAAAAATAGCGACATTTAGTTGAAATTAGGAAAAATATTTAACATTTTTCTAAATAAAATCAAGTGAGAGTTTTTTTTTCATTTGCAAGGTATTTATTGACTTACTTAACATTCAGTCAATCAGTTTTTGGAGCATGCCTTTTAGATTTTTTAAATACCACCCCTGATATACATGTTACTGAGTTCGGACATTTTTTAAAACTATATATGTTTGTTTCGATTGTCTTTTGGGAATTTTCTTGTATGAAATTGGGAAAAATACATACTTTTTATCACTGGGAATTGGGCAGAATACAGCCCCCACGACCCCTAAAAACCCCTGCAAAAGACAGAATGTAGATGAAAATGTAACGATAACGAACACTAATCATGTTCAAAAGTCAAACAATACAAATTATGAAAATGGCAAACAAGGACCCCTGAAATAAGGATTGGGATCAGGTGCCATGGAGGAGTGAACATCCCCTGTCGACCTTTCACATCCGCCGTGTGTCCTTTGTCGTGGTCGGGTAAACGCAAAAAAAGTCATATCCATGTGAAAAAAATGGCCTAACAATTTGAAAGAGGTATAGGTCAACATTCATCCTAACGATAGACTGTATTTGCGAACAAGGTCATTGTATCATATTTGATCCTTGTATTAATAACTTATTTGTCATTAGCCTGACTCATTTCATACGTAGAACATGCTTTTTCGTATCGATTCAACTGGGAGACATTAATCCCATATGCTGGTGATGATAATATACTGCTACATAAATTTGGGAAATTCACGATAGAAAAGTTGATGTCATCACGTTTATCATAAAGTTTTGTTGTTAGTTTGCCATCAAGGATTTCTTTTAGTAAAACATCCAAATATGAAACAGATGTGTCAGGCGCTGTGTTGTCTTTCATTTCGTGTTCATTGAGATATATTAAATCAACGTAGGAATAAAACTGAATATTTTTATTCATAAAACGTCGTTGATATATCTAATGAAACGTATAGAGATAACGAACAGTATCAAGCTCAAAAGTCCATTAAACAATACAAATTTTGAAGCAGAGCAAACACGGACCTCTAAAACATCAGAGGTGGGCTCAGGTGCCATGGAGGAGTGAGCATCCCTTTCCGACCGGTCACACCTGCCGTGTGCTCCTTGTTATGATCGGGAAATAACGGAAAAATCCGTTGACAATTCAGTGTGTAAATAATGGCCTAACAATTTGTATGAAAAACGTCAGTCAGCATTTGACTTAATGATAAATTGTATTTGCTGACAAGGCCATTGTAGCGACAATAGAACTAACGAAATGATGACTTTAAACAAGACTGCTGATATTCTTGTTTCATCAACTTGTTTGTCAATAACTTATCTCGTTTTAGAAATTGTTCATACGTGGAGCATGCTCTTGCGTATCGAATCAACTGAGAGATATAAACCCCATATGCATGTGATGAAGGTATATTGCTGCATAAGTAAGGGAAGTTGACGATTGAAAAGTTAAAAGTCATCACGTTCATCAAAAAGCTTGGTTGTTAGATTACCATTAAGGTTTTTTCTAGTAAAATATCCAAATATAAAACAGATGTGTAAGACTCTATGATATCTTTTTTTTCAAGCTCACCGGGATAAGAATGGAAATTACCATGCATTTTTAATTGACAATACGTCGTCGATATAGTTGAAGGCCACAGCAAGTGTTTTCTTCTTTTCACGTACAAGATTTAGAACAAAGTCTGCTTCATGTGAATACAAAAATAGGTCTGATAATAACGGGACGCATTGACAGGTGCTATTTCAATAAAAATGGAACTCGCATTTTTACTTACCTTGTCATTGGTCATTTGCAAATTATTTTGTTAAAAACATTCTGATTGTACACACAAGTACTCTGAAGTTGATATTAAAAAGATGCTTGAGTTTCTGGTTGACAATATCTATGTGGTTTTTGGAGACCAGGTATTCCAACAATCTATTGGAATTCTCATGGGTACCAATATTATATTATTATTATAATAAATAATTTAATGCTATTGAATGTGGTAACATTTTGTGATTACAGAGTTCCTTGGAGTTTTTAAGTTTCTACATCTGATTAACACCACTTCTCTAATATATTATGGTACTGTACTGCTGTTAATATTTTCGTGAATTTCATCATCGAGGAATAAAGAAAGAGGCTGTAATTTTTTCCTGTCTTATGATATGGGAAGTGGGTTAAAATAATGTTATTCATTAAGACAGGGGCTATCAAAATATATTTTAATTGTTATAATACCCATTAACACGTTTATGTGTATAAAACGTTTCACAATTACACAATTTCAAAACAACAAATAACCCCCTCCCCCCCCCCCCCCCCCCCAAAAAAAAGAAAGAAACAATAACAAAAAAATGAATAATTAAATTTAAATAAATAAAATTAAAAAGAATGCTTGTCATATTTTCAACTACAAGCTTTATAGTAAATTGTCAAAACACAGCTAGCTGTTAGAACGATAAACAGGAAACAATACGATCCTATGATTTGATACACAGCAAATCTATACACTGTCCTATCGCACCAATTACTGGGCTCATGAAGCGGCTGAGAATATGGCGGCTCCCACACTTCGAACACCCAGTGACTTCCGGTGACCAGCCAGCCAATCAGAAACAAGGTGAGCGTCACGTCCATGAATCTGTAGGTTTGAGATACGTATAAACCTTCGTGTACGTATGAATCGTAATAGGAATCGAGTTGTCGTCTGTACTGCATGTTTCGCCACATTGTAGCGAGGATCCTTAAAATTCCGCAACATCCTCCCACAAGCAGGTAAATAGGAACGCTGCGCTTAATTGGACAGTCATTAATGTATTTCACACCTGAAAAGAAGAAAGTTAATTAACTAAGTCAGTAAAAGGTAAAAATTGATACTGTATAGCAACATTTAATAGCGTTCGAACTATATCCGCGAGTTTTTCGATCTTTTACTCACGAATATTTATCGCTGCGATCAGTTTATTTGTCTGACATGTATATATTGTACTTATGTTGATTGTTTCCTAAATCGCAAAAAATGATAGTAGTTGGTGGATGGATATCTATCTGACTTATTGTGAGTAAAAGTTGACCCGAATAATTCAGTTCAATTCACTTATCATGTCGACATAAAGTCATGGACATTAATAATATAGAACAAAACACAGATTAATACGTACAGAGTAACACACACCAGGTAAACAAAATCCAAAATACTATATACACTAGACAAAATTGCAAACGCACCACAAAAGAAAATTAATATTTTACTTTTCAAAACTTTTTTATGATGTATTTAATATATAATTATGTTACTTAAATATAAATGTCTTAACTGATAAATAACTACATGTTTACTGAATCGTAACCATTTCATACAATAAATAAATAAATAAATAAATAAATAAATAAAAGCGTGCCCATATTTTTCTGGAAGAATAGATTTCTATTTTTTCCCTTTTTGTTTGTGTTCATGTTTTAACTGATTAAAAACTCAGAAAAAAGTTGCACCGTATGAGGCGTTTGTCCCTAGCGGAGCGTGTTAAAGCAGTCAGTATGATGTCTGCAGGGGGTCCTTTGGAGAAATTTGTGAAAAATTAAAAGATTATTCATTCCTCTAATGAAAAATTGTTGCAAATAGATTAACAAACATAAAAATGTCTACTATTGATTGCCACAGCGAATTGGTTTTTCGGACAAGGTCATTTAAAGGTCTTGACACCAAGATATTTGTCAATCCCCCAGTTTTGGAAAATGTGGCATATTATATATACTAGTACCGATCAGGCAAATGTTCAATTCACAAATAAGAATAAAAAGTGGTGAGTTAGCAATTTTGTCTAGTGTATATTTAAATATTTCTAAGTAGTCATTATTAGTTTTCCTTTCTGATGCCAATGCAGTTTTTCAAGAAACAACATATATCATTCTTGCAGCTGTAGTATTTGTAGGATTGACCATTTTTTTCTAATAAGATTTTCACATGAAATATATCATTATATTTCCATCTGTATTGATCATACCTTGAACAATAAAGTACAAATGTTTTTCCTCTTCAATAAACAATTTGCATGAATAGCATAAAGGTTTTTCTTTAGAAATAGGGGTTTAGAAGATTTACCCGTTTGAATACTAGCATACAATGGATGGACGCTGATCCTTAATTTTGTTAACAAAGATCTATAATTTTTAGCTATAAATAATTTGCTGTGGCCTTCAACTCGACATTTAGATATATCGACGATGCATTTTCAATTAACAATAGTTATTTTTCATTCATATGTCGATTCGATATATCCTAGTGAGCTTGAACTTGAAATAAAAGACATCACAGAGTCTGCCACATCTGTTTCATATTTGGATATTTCACTGACTATAGACGATAAGGGCCAATTAATAACTAAATTGTATCACAAATGAGATGACTTCAAATTTTCCATCGTCAGCTTTCCTTATTTATATACTAATATCCCGCTATCACCTGCATATGGTGTTTACATCTCCCGTCTTGATACTCAAGAGCATGCGCCGAGTACGATCAATTTTTAAAGCGAGACAGGCTACTCGCTGAGAAATTGATATTACAGGGATTTATAAAACTCGTTTAAAGTCAGCATTTCGTAAATTTTATGGTCGTTATATTGACCTTGTTATCAAATATAACCTATCAATGCGTCGTATTTTGGATGACTTGTTTCATACCAATTGTTAGCCTTTGTTTTTATATCAAATTTGACTAAGGAATGTTCTGTCTACCTGATCAATACATAGGGCTCACAGCGGGTGTGACCGATCAACAGGGGAATGCTTACCCCTTCTAGGCACCTGATCCCACCTCTGGAATTTCCAGTGGTCCGTGTTTCATGTCCTTTACAGAATTGTATTATTCATAGATTTTTTGAGATCGATCTCCTTTCGGCATCTTCACCTTTTTCATTTGTAATCATTTGTTTCGCAATTTTGCTCTAAAGAGCTAATTTTCCAAAGTCTGATTCACTATATTTTTCAGTTATTTCATTGTTTTGGTAATGATCTTGTATTTTTTTCAGAGTTGTTTGAGAACTATCCAGAGAGGTGATATTTAATTTTTGTAGTATTGAAGAAAGTTTTCCTATATATTCAAGATACAAGTTCTTTATCTTCTTAAATGCAGGAGAGAATTCATTCCATTTCTTGAATATTACAAAGGAAAACGCCTTTATTCACATAAAACAGAAAAAAATTGATGCCTTTCTCTAGTATATGTCTTTAATTATTATCTAAGATGTTCTGTTTTCCTTTTTATAAAAGGGAATTTGTTCGAGGACCAATGATAGTTGCTTTATAGTATATATATATCTGATATAAATGTAACAAAAACAAGTACATTCAATTTACAATAACCATGATAATTGGTAGGATTTGAGTTGCATTGCATCTCTTTATCATTATTCAAATGCATAAAATTAAGATTTTCTTTCAGCTTTATTTTTCGATTTTATTTGTGAGAGTCTTACCTAAAAAAATCATGGCAACTGGTAACGTCAACGACACACCCACCAGTACTGTAATAAATACTGTCAAAAGAGAGAGAGAGAGAAAAAAACATAAATAAAAATTATAAATACAAGTAGAAAGTGCACTCCAGGGAACGTTTCATTGTTAAGATTTGTTTTGTTTAAATCTACTGATAATGCATTCTGTGAGTTTTTTAAATATATTTTTGTCTGCTTCCGACTGCTGAATGTAAGGTCAATGGGCGACGCTCTGATTAAAACAATGTACATTTTATGTGTTCATTTCCGCCCTGTCGCGGAGAATCGGTTTTTATTAGTAATAGCATTCTCTTGTTTTTCCTTCCTGATTAAAGGAATACGGTAGGGAGGTAGAGGAGACTTCATATAATAGTCTATACAAATTAGAAAATAATATATAATTTTGTTGCAACTGCAAATTGAGTCTAGCAATGCATATACCTAGATATATTCAAATCGTATATTACATCCATTTAAAGTACAAAAGTTTCAAGCAATTTGCTACTTTGTAAATCTTTTAAGTGACTTGCAAAAATGTCTTTATCTCAAAATATTCAATATACACCAAACAATACACTGCAAAAATTGTGTTTTTAAAATAAATATTTCCATTACGTGTTTAGATATAAACGTTAATATTGTGTTTAAATAGCAGTTTATGAATGTACCTATTTCTGTTTTTCTCTGCCGATATTTGCAATTTATAACTAGCCTGTATGATGATATATGTATCTGTTCATTTACTTTAAACATACTCTATCTATCGTTAAACATTACTTATCATTAAAAGTAATCTGATTGAATTGGGCAACAGACAATATTTATGATATATCAATATATAAATCGTTAAACAATATAATCATTCCTGTATATTTTATCCTGACTACTATTTATGATATTTAGACAATACGATTGTTTTTTAAAATATATTTTATCCTGTACAGATATTTATGATATATTGATCTTTAGTCAATATTATCATTTCTGTATATTTAATCACGACCAATTTTTATGATATATCGTACTGAAATTTATGATATATCTTTAGACACTAAGATTATTTCTGTATATTTTATCACCACCAATATTTATGATTTATCGTACTGAAATTTATGATATTTCATTAGACACTATGAATATTCTGTATATTTTATCACGACCAATATTTATTATATGAAATATGGAGATAACGAACATTATTCAGTCTCGAAAGTTCGATGAAAAGATAAAAATTTAGAGGTGGGATCAGGTGCCATGGAGGAGTGAGCATCCCCTACCGACCGGTCACACCCGGCATGTGCTCCTTGTCATGATTAAAAAAAAACATGAAAAAATCCATAGACAATTCAGTGTATAAATAATGGCCTAACAATTAGTAGGAAAAACGTCAGTCAGCATTTGACTCAATGATAGGTTGTATGTGCTGACAAGGTCATTGTATCGACCATAAAACTTGAGAAATGGTGACTTCAAACGAGACTGTCTTTGTTTCATCAACTTGTTTGTCAATAGCTTGCCTCGTTTTAGAAATTGTTCATACGTACGTAGAGCACGCTCTAGCGTAACTAATCAACTGAAAGACATAAACCCCATGTGCAGGTGATAAGGGTATATTGCTACATAAGTATGGGAAGTTGACGATTGAAAAGTTGAAGTCATCACGTTTATCATAATGCTTTGTTGTTAGGTTACCATTAACGTCTCTTTCTAGTAAAATATCTAAATATGAAACAGATGTGTCAAACTCTGTGGTTTCTTTTATTTCAAGCTTACTGGGCTATATCGAGTCGACATATGATTGGAAGTAACAATTTCTATTTCTGTTAGATTTATGATGTATTTCTTTAAAAAAATATAGAGGGAATTACATTGAGAATTTAAGAAAGACTACAACTGCATGCAGGTCTTTAATACTACTATGCCCAAATTTATACTACTGCTATATTACTATATATCTTTCGTATATTTGTTTGTTTGTTGTTTAATGTTCTTTCGAGAAATTTTCGCTCATATGGAGACGCCACCACTTGCCGGTCGAGGGCTGCAAATTTATACCTATACTCGGCATTGAGCAGTGAGGGATTTTTTTCGTGCCAACAACTACTGCGACCTGGGATCTCGGCTTATACGGTCTCATCCGAAGGATCGGTCCCGCAGTGGATTCGAACCCGCGACGTATGGATCAGCTCCTTAATTACTCCGCGACTCTAGAGCAGACATTCTAACCACTGCGCCACTCGGGCGACAATATCTTTCGTATAATGGCTATGTATAAGGCCTCTAACTTTAACTATTTAAGTGTCATTTATAGAACGTATGTTGAGGCCATCAATGTCTCTATAACTGGATTAAAAAGATTTCAGTTTAAATCCTTCTCACTTAATATTGATTCAAATTTACCTGAATTATCCTCCAGGCTAAAAGGCCATCATTATCAAAGTTACTGTCGTTCAAGTAACTGATGACCTTTATAATGTCTATCACCACAAATTTAGAATCAAATGTAATTGATGGATACCTCTGTTGAAAACCAGAGGATAAAGTCAATATATTGATAAATTTTTTTGCGTTATGGCTTCTGTCAATTTACGGGCTTCATTTCATACATCTCAAATTGAAGTTCATTAATACAAGTATTTTGTTTTTAGAAATGAAACCCCTCTAAAAGCCATAGAGTACGGAATGGTGAAAGCTGGTCGATTCCATCATAAGAATGGCATTAAGAATCTCAAACGTTCGTGCTTTGTAATCTAGACATTGTTCCTCCAAGGCAAAACAATGCTCATTTACGGAACTACATCCTGCTAAGGCCACACAAAAACAGAGGGATTTCATTAAGTCTTGGTGAAGAATCTACAATCTATTGCAAGCACTATACTTAAGAATGAACGATCACTTTCTTTGTTCGCTTGTAAGGCTTCAGCGTCTAGTGATTCAATACTATACGGAGCGTGAATTACAAATTATTGAACATCTATCGTCATTTGAAACTATTCAAAACAACAAAAAGTGTTTGAAGTATTTTCTTGAACATGCGATGGAATTGGACTCCATCTTTAATGAAAAGGAGAGTTTATTCAAAGAAAGATGTCATCCGCTTTGAACATAAACAGCGAAACAATTAAGTCAAAACATTTCCACAATTATATCAACTCGATAAGATACTTTGTACAACTATAAACACTGCATTTGTTAATAAAATGCACATTTTGCTCGAATAGCTTATTTTCAGTACCTATGAAAATTATTGGGGGATATGAAAGAAATATTGTTACATCAGCATAATTATATCTTTGATGTTTTATTACATTTACTGAAAATTAAAGAATCTAAAGGATATCATATGAAGAAAAACACTTTAAACCCGTGTTACTTTTTTTTTAATCGTAAACGTTTTATGTTTTATTACATTTAGTTATTAACTTGTAACTAAAGAATAAACGGTTTATTTTACCTGTATGGCAGATAATGTTTTTGCTACGTGACAGAAATTGACAAGTGTTGTTAGAATCATGGCTGGCTTCTTTTAGCTGAAGGAGAACAGAACTATAACTTGCATCTACCCCTTGACCTCCGGTTGTCCGCCAATCAACAGACGTGTTCCATAGGCGTCTTTCATCGTCAAATGACTGTAAGGTGAAAAAGCTGAATATTAAAGGTGCTGTTAATATGATACATTTTACCTTAACATAAAACCTTTAGAAATGAAAGTCTGTAAGCACATTAACTCTTTTCTATTCCTGACACTAAATTATAAAGTTTCCCTTCAAAGAAGAAGTTCTTGAAAATCACCTTTCAGTTTTATGGACGTTTAACATTCCAGTCAGTGGAGGTTGGTATGGTTGACCTGTATTTGATTCCAAAACTTCATAAAAATCCTTACAAAGATACATTACAGGGACAAGTAAATTTTCGACCAAGCCCTAATTATTCTTACTCCCTACTAAAATATTAACTTCTGTGAAGCAGATACTTTACACGTATTATTCTAAACATATTCAAGAAGTGATGTAAATCAAATGTAGATTTAAAAAAAAATCCAAAGAACTTTTGAAAAATTTAAAATCTCAAAACTTGCCGAACACCAACAGCATAAAAACACACGACTTTTGTAAGCTTTATACAACCATTCCTCAATGTCATAGACAATTAATTCCTCAATAAAAGTGGCAACTTCGTTAATTTTTATATCTTGTGAGTGGTCATTAACAAAATTCATGAGAAAAAGAAACTAACAATACATGTGTCGACTCATATATCCCATTGAACTCGATAAAAAGACACTTCAGAGTCTGCCACATCTATTTCATATTTGGATGTGTTACTGACTATAGAGTATGGCCAACTAATAACTAGACTGTATAAGAAACGGGACGACTTCAGTGTTTTCATCGTCAACTGCCCTTATTTGTGTATAGCAATATTCCAGCATCACCTACATATGGTGTTTATGACTCACAACTAAATTGAAACGTAAAGAAATGCTCTGAATACGATCAATTTGAAACCGAAGCAAGCTACTGACAAATAAGTTGATCTTATAAGGATTGAAAAAAAAAACTTTTAAAGAGAGCTTTTCGCGAATTCTATGGGCGTTATATTGCCCTTGTTTGTAAGTACAACCTATCGTTAGATCGCATTTTAATTTGTCTGACATGTTTCAATAATCGGTAGGTCATTGCTTTTTTACTTAATTTGACTAAAGAGTATTCTGTCTACCCGATTAATACGTAGGGCTCATAAATGTGACCGGTCGGCAGGGGATGGTGACTCCTCCTAGGCACCTGATCCCACCTCTTCTGTTTCCAGGTGTCAGTAATTTTGCCCTGTTTACCATATGTATTGTTTACGTGTTCTTGATTCGATCGTTTCGTTTACTGGATTTATGAGACTTATCACTGTTCAGTATCTTCACCTTTTACATCTTATTCAATATCTGATCATGAAAATAAAGATACCCATGGTATTTAAACTTGTTATAATTACGTGTGGTAGTATTTCAAAGTTTCAAATGAAATTTTATAAACACATAAGTTTTTAAAACTTTGGAAACAGATTTATATTACATTTTGCATTAAACTTCAAAGTTTTTTCATGAATATAAAGTCTTCTACAGTGATTAACCACTGATTTTTTAGACAACTGTAAAATTGATTTCTATAGAAAAAAACATTTTTAAAGGTTTAATGAGCAGATCTTGCATCAATCCTACTGTGGAATAACCGTAATTGAGACTGGCAAAGGAACAATTTCAATGGCGTAGAGTAATTTAGCGTATTTTCGATATTAAAGCATCCTCGTGCTAATATATTGAATTTTTGATGACAAAATCCTCTCACTTTGGAAATAATTGTTGTTAGAATTTTCAGAAATTGTAGTTGTAAGCAGTAAAATGTGACAGACGAGGGTTATAATTATACAACATAAAGCAAGATTCATTGCCAGTTGAAACCCCTCTATCCAATACCCCCTTTTGTTATCATTAAGATCCCGCTAATGAGAATTCTTTCTAATTATTTTTTGCATTAATATCTTGTTTGTCACGCTGTCCTGTCCAACTTCCGCTGGGAGGTTCCACAGAACTCCTATTATTTCCACTGATTGTATTCTTTTTTTTTTTTTTTTTTTTTGACAGATTTCTTCAGTGTCTTTTTGCATTCAGAAAAACACACAATTATGAAATTCTTAAAATATGTTCAAAGAAATTTCTGAAATGCAGTTTTAACAAAATAATTTTTCTTTTAGTTGAATAGTTTTTAAAATGCGCATTTTGTAAGCAGTCATGAGAATAATTGTAGAACCTCTATGTACCATAAGTATAATAATACCAATAAAAAGGCGAATATAAGGAATAGTACGGAGACCTATTTAGGACCTCTCTAACGTAACATTGTAAACATTTTCACTCCTATTGTTGAGGGAAGTCTTGTGTGTAATCAATATGTAGTATTTTAACATTCAACCGCCAGAGGACGCACTGATAGGATTAGTCATGCTTCATCGAGCATGAGAATATAACTTGTGTTTAGAACGTCATAATATTTTTTTATATATTGTTTGGAACAGCTTGTTTCAAACACTTTTTGTATACTTAATTCTGGGACAATTAACATTTTTGCTAAGACATTCTCGGTCCTTTTCATCTAATGACGCGCAGAAGATATTACTATATGGTCCATTTAACATATGGGTGACAAGTGCATAAGCTAATCTAGGTATATAATGATCAATATGTAACTTATCAGAAAAAAATCTGAAGAAATATTTTTGCTTACTTCAAAACTAGATTAAAAAAAATCAGAAAAGTGCTGAATATCTATTTCAGTTTATAGTTCAAGTTCAAAGTGTAACATTACTTTTGTAGTTTGATAGAATATTGAAGATAAATGTGAGTATTCTGTATTTATTCTCAAAATTATGAAGAGAAACCATTCTTCAAGATATTGGAAGAGGTGTCATTGTGCCGAGTGTTATATATTTGCTATATTTGGAGTTGCTTTGTGTTACAGAACGTGGTTTGTAGGGGTTTTAAAAAAAAAAAAATTATTTATTGATTTTTTTTTATAGATCGATCACTTTTCATTTTCTACTCTTTCTCATTCTGATATTGCACATACAATTAAAGACTACTGAAAACTCATAGTCTGTTAAGTTCTCCTCATTCTTATATTGCACATACAATTATTGAAAACTCATAGTCTGAAAAGTTCTCATTCTTTTATTGCACATACAATTAAAGACCACTGAAAACTCATAGTCTGTTAAGTTTTCCTCATCCGGTTTAAAATACAATAATAGGACCATATGTGTGTCCTGTGGGTTGGGGTTGGGGCGAGGGTTTGGACAGGGGTTGGGGGTAGTATTAGGTGATCTGAATAAGTTAGAAAGATGAGGAATCTTTAGCATTTATCAGTATTTTTGTTAAAGTAAACCCCCTGTAATGCTGATTAATGGGGATGAAGTCCTCCCGCAGACATTACTCACGTTAAAGCCCCACTGCATTGCTGAAGTCTTAGACAAATAAAGCAAGATTAAGATTAACAGATGTAAGACAGGCTTCTGTATCGTTCATCATGTCTTCTTGTTGATATTTGGACAAAATTCTACTAGGTGTTTACTTCATCAATAGAATGTAATCAACATTGAATCCTGAATACAAAACAGAATTTCTTTAGATATTCGTGTAATAGTTTATTGATAACAGATCGTCTGTAACGATTATGTAAATTGCTTCCTATTTGCCCGAAACTCTTTACACCCAGTTTTAGAATAATCTCCTCTAGGAAGTTCGAAGGAAGTCTTTTTCTGTCCGTATGATATTTTGTCCGCCTGTTCGTGTGTCTGTCTGTACGAAGATTTTCTTAAAAATTTGGAAAGAGATTTAGAGTTTTGATTAAAGTGTACTCTAGGTTGATTCAATTAAAAAAGCGAGACAGATCTTATAAGAGGCACTGGTTTGCAAATAACAACTGAATGCAATATACCTCAAAGTAAACAACAGTTTATAATGGATATTTTTGGGACATAAACCCTAGACCAAAAAAGAATGTCACTGCTTTCCATGAACATCAACTGAAAGATGAAAAAGTTAGTTTCTTTTAAAAGTTTAACGCCAGGATCGGTTGGTATATTGCGTCTGCACACTTGAGATAATTTTCTAAAAAAAAGACGTTGATGGTAACCTAACGACAAAACTTTATGATAAACGTGATAACTTCAACTTTTCTATCGTCAGTTTCCCTTACTCATATAGCAATAAACCCTTATCACCTGCATATGGGGTTTTATTTCTCCAAGTTGATTCGAAACGCAAGAGCATGCCCTACGCACGAACAATTTCTAAAACGGACAAGCTTTTGACAAACAACTCAATGAAACAGGGATATCAACAGTCTCTTTTAAAGACATCATTTCGCAATTTCTCTGGTCGATACAATGACTTTGTCAGAATTAAAATCTATCATTCTGTCGAATGCTGACTGATGTTTTTCATACTAATTGTTAAGCCATTATTTACCCACTGAAGTGTCTACGGATTTCTCCCTTTATCCGATCATGACAAGGAGCACACGGCGGGTGTGACCGGTCGGCAGAGGATGCTAACTCCTCCATAGCACCTTATCCCACCTTCGATGTTTTTAGAGGTCTTGTTTGCTCTGCTCCCTATAGGTATTGTTTCACTGGACTTTTGAGCTTGATTGCTGTTCGCTATCTTCGTTTCATATATATGGGTGTAATTGTGATTATAATAAGTTTGCATTGAATTGAAAATAATGGAATGTTTCAGGCCAGATCCACTTGAACCAGGTATCAACTCTTGTTTGAGTTGACCACTATTCTCAAATTTTTGTTAACTTCCATATATCATCAATATTTCATACAATCATTCATCGTAACGGTAGTTAACGGTAGATTATTGAATAATACATTTACATTTTACTCTTGCGACCTCATCGTAGGCGAATCGGTTCGTTTTAATTTCATACCCGTTTTTTCAGAACCTAGAAATTGTTTGCCACAGCCTTCATTTAATTTCAGTTGCACTTATAATGGACTATCATGATATGTTCGATGCCATTGATTCTCCATTAAATTAATCTGGAAATTATTTTTAATAGGATGCTTTTTATAGCCATGTCATGCATATTTCCTTTAAGATTTCCGCAAAGAAAAATGTTGTTGAAATAGTGTCTGTTGTTGCATTAAATCAAATTTTGTAATATCCACTCTGTGGCACATTTTCATTCCTCACATTGCTAAATCATGCAGTGATGCAGTTATGTTAGTCATTGTAAAATGGTGTAATATTGAAAGCCTACACGATAAACATTTCCCTTTATGCACTCAGATTATTGTATCTTAGTAACATACCGGTAACAGTAAGGGCATTGCACCTTGTATGATGATTCCTTTAGGTCGTAAATTAAACAATAAAATACTTTCTTAGTTCGCACGGGTTATTAAGGTTGCAGCTGTTGCAGAAAATGTACATAACTCGCGTATTCTGGTAGTGTAATTTTTTTCTGCAATAGCTGAAACTGATAATTCCTTACTAACAAAGAAAGGCATTTTATTGTTTATAATTATCTATATAAATAATAATAAATACAAGGAACACACGGCGGGTGTAACCGGTAGGCAGGGGATGCTCACTCCTCCATGGCACCTGATCCCACCTCTGATGTTTTGGAGGTCCGTGTTTGCTCTGCTCCTATTTTGTATTGTTTAATGGACTTTTGAGCTTGAATACTGTTCGTTATCTCCATCTATTTCATAGTAAGTTTAGGTACTTTTAATATTGTATTATTGATATGTACATCATTGTATGTTTCATTGATGGAAAATCACACTGCATATGAAATATACACGGGTGGATTTAAAAGCCGATTCTAATGAAAAAGATGAATATAACGTACAGTTATCGATCTCCAAAAATCAGTACAAATTTGTTAACAGGGCATAGAACATGGATCCCCGGAAATTCCAGAGGTGAGATCAAGTGCCTTGGAGCATCTCCCATTGATCGGTCACACCCGCCGTGAGCCCCATGTATTGATCAGGTAGACGGAACATTCCGTAGTCAAATTAGAATAAAAACAATGACGTTTACTGATTGATGAAAGAAAAAGCTCTCTTAAGAAATAAAGAAGAAATCTTCAGCGGATATAAATATACAGAAGCGAACTCATGAGAAATTCTCAAAAGAATTTCGTTACAGTGTATAGTGATGCAAGACAGTTTCACGCAATCATTTTATTTTAAATCAATTTGTTATGAATTCTCAACAAGGAAATTAGTCTTCTCTGCATGATGATAACAATGGTAGAAATTTGCTCTTTGTGTAATTGAATTCAGAAATTAGGACATCTAGACATTTTTTAAATTTTAAATTCGTCCCTCCGCGAACGTTTGTTATGTACCAAATTATTGATATTACTTAACGAAATAATATGCCAAGGTATTGCTATTTCTTTACAACTTCGCAATAGTATTACGGCAACTTTTGTTCTAAAGGAAGACTATTTTTTTTTCTATAAAATGTCTGATCAATAAATATTATTGCTTGTATTGAATGTCGAATCATTGAATATATAATTGATCATTCCACGGGGAAATGATATTTCAGAAAACAATCTGATTTCAATCATATTTTAAGGCAGACTTTTTTTCTGAGATAATGAAAAAGTTGGGCATAAAAGGTCTGTGATTGATATCTCTGTAAGTGATTTGCAGCTTGCTAATGATATTCCATTTTCCAATTTTAGCAAATATTCTGTCAAAATATACTGAAACGCAAAAGAAATTCCTAATTTTAGGGGGAAAATTATATGCAGGTTATAACTTTGTACTTAAAAGTATATATTGGCTATCAAATACAAACTTAGAAATTTTGTGCTAGCGTTTTGATTTTTGATATTCAAACAGCAATGTTCCTTTAAAATTTTGTGGAATTTTATTCAAACACGCATTTATACATACTTAATGTTAATCAATGATACATGTGAGTACATTTATTATCAAACTGAACTTATTGCTAAAGCCATTGGTCTTTATTGTATTGCATTGCATCTTTCAAATCGATAACTTACTTTCAAATTTTTAACAGATATAGCTTCTCATTGATAATAAAAAATATTCCTGATAAAAAATCAAAGTAGAGCGATTAATAAAATAATTTCGAGTACAATGATGCTTTAGTTGAAAAACAACTGATTAGTGAAATGACTTAATGGCTTATAAATGTCATTTTAAGTGCATTGTTTATCAGTTATGAAAAAAGACAGTCATTAACAAACCAGTAACAAGAATATAATTACCCAGAACTTCCTCCTGTCCTGTAATTCTTGCCCACACAGTTACTGTGACCTTTATTACGCCATAATGTCCAATTATTGTGATTTTTAAAACTTGTCCATTTTTAAATATATTTTTCATCTAAATGATTAACATTAATAAAACATTCAAACCGAAAATTAAAGTGATTTTCAAATTTTATATTTTTATGGATGCTAGAAATGATTTAATACGTCTCAAAAGTTCTCCTAAGCACTGATGTTCCTCAATATTTATGCACAAAACAAGCTTGTTTGAAAAAAAATTCAAGAATTTTTCCTTTTTAACAAAAATTCATACTGTTAACTTGCTGCTTGGTTGATTTAATTTGGGTAACTCTGTATTCAATAATTAATACAGTGTATGCAGCATAAAAGAACTAGAAACAAGTTCCCATCCATAAGTTTTAAAAGTACAATTATCATATAAATTTAGAGAATAATTTCCATGAAATAGAAATCATGCTATTATTTTTCATTGTTATCTTACGCTTCATGATTCAAATATCACCTTTATCCTGGAGGTTTGCTTTATGCTATTTGGGATGGTTGTTAGTTTAAGTACATGATAAATCTTCCTGCTGTTGGTTTTATGCTCTTTAAAATGGTCATATAGACTCGACTACAGGCCGGGTCAGAACTAAGATTTTTAAACACGTAAAATACTAGAAAAGATGTGAATGTCAACTTTCGGGAGGGACCTCTTAATCCTAGGTGCCAGGTTGCTGAAGATGAGGATTGAAGATGAATATTGATAAAGACTCCTCCCCACATGAGGTAGGTAAATAACATAGCTATAAAATTGCCTCTACCGTACACTGGTGACTTGTCAATATGAGTGAACAATTCTCAACAGAAACTGAACCTTAAATGAATTACTGCAAGCAAGGAAATGTTTGCCCGCTGTTTTATTTTTACTCTTTCGCCCTTTCATTGTTGCCTACTTCAAACATGGTAAGACGAAAATTGTACCTGGACCAATTCAATACAGGGCAAAATAATTTATTGTGTGATGAAATATGTGGAGATAACGAACAGTATTCGAGCTCAAATGTCCATTAAACATTGCAAAATAGGAGCAGAGCAAACACGGACCTCTAAGACATCAGAGGTGGGATCAGGTGCCATGGAGGAGTTAGCATCCCCTGCCGACCGGTCACACCCGCCGTTTGCTCCTTGTCAGGATCGGGAAATAACGAAAAAATCTGTCCACAATTCAGTGTATAAATAATGGCCTAACAATTAGTATGAAAAAAGTCAGTCAGATATATAGCAAAAATATACCTATAGAAATAACTTTAGTTAGTATTGTATCATTGCTATTATGAGTAAATTAAAGCAATGAGAGGTTGTCACAAAAAATTATTTATTATACCTTGTAAAGTATATATTTCTCTCCTCTTCTTTTCTCTCGATTTATTCAAATAGATGCATGGTACGATGGACAAACCTTGAATGCTTTCAGAGAAGAGAGTAGCTAACCTATTGTAAGATGCATGCGTGATGAAGAATAATTCTGCACACAGCCAGAAAATATTTGGCTTCGAATCTTTTCAGTAACTTCTGTTATGTCATTTTTAGTTTAAGCCATTTGTTTCACTTTTGTAATATATCTCTTATCTTAAATTATGAATTTTCAATAATATCTACATTTTTTGATGCATTGTTGAGGCAAAATAGTCTAATCAGGTCCAGGTACATTTTATTTTTTACATTTTTAGTGTACTTTTTATAGCTCGTCAGGAGTATGCCAAGTACCATAATTTGTACACATTCCAGATTCTAAGATCTAAATATAAATTGACCTATTTATCAAAGATAGTATTATTTAAAAATAATGTTTGTGAAAGAAATAAAAATTATATATAATCACTCTAAGTTAGAAATTCTAACAAAAAATATTCCTATCAAACTACTCACCACGATTGTGCTGGCCACACTCCTGGCAGGGGATGCCTGGGGGTGCTCCTTCTGTATCCCTGATATGACTGGCGGGGTCTTTACGGGGGGAGCAGGCGACTCTCTTTTAATGGAGGTGGGTTTTCTCCGGATAGATCTCTTAATTGAGTTCCGGTTCTTACGGACCATTGTTCCTTGTCTTGATAAAAGCGACATGTTTTTTTTTTTCAATTTCACTTTCTGACAAAAAAACTAAGAGTATTTAAGTAAGCATATCAATTAAGAAATATTTAAATGTTTATCAAGCTGCCGTAGTAGGTAAACTAAAAATATAATTCCCTGCTTTAATCAGAAAATTGAACGCAAAGTCGCAATAGGCGATTCTATTGGCAAATTAATGAACGAACTCTGTCGACTCTTCCTCTCTCTCTGGTCGTAAGAAACATGGCAATTTGAAAAGCAACGTTCATATTGGTGACACGAAAGCTTGACAATTCCCAGAAATCAATATATCCAGGTGGAGAACGGCTGATCATACAACTGACCATTTATTTTTCTATTGAGAGCGATATTCATCTCATCATATCTTTGTTTAGAATTATGCAGAGGCTCATTCTAGGTGTCCTCCCTCTGAAAATGAACTGATGTCGTAGTTTAAGAATGTCATAAATAAATTCAATTATGCAAAAGAAGTAAGACTGGCTTCCGGCAACGTAAAGGAGAGTTGTAAAGCAAATCTAGTTAAAAGATCTTACAGCTAGTTACGGCGATAATTTCATGAAAAGCTCTTTGAGCAAACGGGTAAAATTCTCTTCATGAGTGGAACAAAGATAGTACATGAATGATACAAAACTCGGAGTTTGGTCAGTGAATACAAATCGCTCATACCGTCTGTAGAGAATTTTTAATTCGTATAGAGACCTTTCACTATGAATTCTTTTTTTATCATGAGGATATGACAAACAATAAATACAGGAATCGTGATTATTCTTATTCTCAGCTTTTAGCTTTTAAACCATTTGAGATTGTGTGATATAAAATTACACCCATAGTCAAATCCAAGGATAACACGAAATTATTCCAATGGATCAAAATAAATCCGGTCTATATCAGCACTTTTATTCGTAGTATTTTGTTGATAAATGTCTTGAAAAGTGTGACTTAATTGTAAATGTTTTTTTTTTTCTACATCTGAATTGTTAGACGATGTCTCTGTTTGCGATACCTATAGGTACATACACAGAGGGGCTGTCACTAATATTTAATTAACATCGTTATAATAAGCCTGCAGTTGTTATTAACTCTAAATAATAAGACCATGGGATAACTGAGTTAACAGGTATATGTATAATAAAAAAATTCAAAACAGCTTAAATAAACAGTATCGTATATAAAGCACTTCTTTGTTATGGTATGTCATTTAAGCATTGTATTATTATTATTTTTTTTTTTTTGAATGATGCAGTCTCATAACTGCAACGGTGCGTGCAAACAAATTGAGTGACGGGCGTTACTTATATTTACATTTTTGACTCCCTGTCTTGTTTGCAAATGTGATTTATATATTTAAAAAACCCTGTTTTGTCCTCGGGTAAGTTACAATTAATGGAAGAGCCGAAGCAACAGCTGATACCGTATTGCTGTTCAATGTGAGCATGAATTTTCATTTTCGCTTACTGCACTCGCACGGTGTTCAACGTTTGTGACGTCAAATTAAAAGTCATACTTTAACCTTTTGACCCCCTCGTCCGTTTTATGGTGTTTTGAATGCGGTTGCTTTCCACACACTAAAGAAGCAAAATACCATGTGGAATGTAAATATAGAATCTTTGATACTCTTAACAAAGAAGAATTTTGTGCTTTGAAACAAAATGTTATCCTTGCTATATACAGAATTTCTCCTTTTATGTAATTTTACTTCCAATAGAGTTTTTTTTAAATCTTCAATATGATATTTGTGCTGGTATAAAGATACCTCGTTCTACAGTTTGTGCAATGAAATATGAAGATTATGAACAGTATTCAATCTCGAAAGTCCAATGATACGATACAAATTTGGAGCAGAGCAAACACGGACCTCAAAATTTAGAGGTAGGATCAGGTGCCATGGAGGAGTGAGCACCCCTGCCGACCGGTCACACCCGCCGTGTGCTCCTTTTCATGATCGGGAAACAAAAACCGGAAAAATCTGCACACAGTTCATTGTATAAATATGGCCTAACAGTTAATATGAAAAATATCAGTCAGCATTTGACTCAATAATAGGTTGTATGTGCTGACAAAGTCATTGTATCGACCGAAAAACTTGCGAAAAGATAACTTCAAACGAGACCCTTGTTTTGTCAACTTGTTTGTCAATAGTTTGCCTCGTTTTAGAAATTGTTCATACGTAAAGCATGCTCTTGCCTATCGAATCAATTGAGAGACATAAACCCCATATGCAGGTGATAAGGGTATATTGCTGCATAAGTAAGGGAAGTTGACGATTGAAAAGTTGAAGTCATCACGTTTATTACAAAGCTTTGTTGTTAGGTTACCATTAACATCTTTACCTAGTTAAATATCTAAGTATGAAACAGATGTTTCAGAATCTGCGGTATCTTTTATTTCGAGCTCACTGGGATATATCGAGTCGACATGTGATTGGAAGTAACTATTGTTAATTGATAATACGTCATCGATAAATCTGAATGTCGAGTTGAAGATCACAGCAGGTGTTTTCTTCCTCTCATGTAGAAGTTTTTGAATAAACTCTGCCTCATATGAATACAAAAAATAGGTCTGCTAATATGATAATAATTGGCACCCATGGGAATTCCACTAGATTGTTGGAAGACCTGATCTCCAAACATTACATAGATATTGTCAATCATAAACTCAAGCATCTTTTTAATATCTTATTAACTTCAGAGTACTTGTGTGTACAATTAGAGTGCTTTTTAACAAAATACTTTTGTAAATGACCAGTGACAAGATTAATATATTTACGAGTTCTATTTTTATTAAAAAAACAGTTGTCTATGATGTCAAAAAGACTGGATTTCAATTTATCGTCGGGAAGGGTTGTATAAAGTGTTGAAAAGTCGTACGTTTTGATGCTATTGATTTTAGTAAAATTTTGTGATTCTAAATTATCCAAAAGTTCTTTGGAGTTTTTAAGTATCCACATCTGATTTACACCACTTCTCGACTTTCCGTAAAACGTGGCGGTTTAAAAAGTCTATAATTTGCAATATCTATAATCACAGATCCAAGCTTGTATTCTGGTGTCGAAGAATCCAAATATGGACTTTCCTTGGCCTTTTCAAATAAACCATATAGAACTTTCAAAGGGACAGAGTAAAGCTTAGTGCGAATGTGATGGAGATTATAAATATAAAAAGAATAAACATGTAATATATGTAAAATGACTATAATAGAACAAATATATTTCTAATATATCTCTCCTCTCTTGTATGTGTTTGTCATATCGTCTTCTGCAAATTTTCTAAGAAAATGTTTGGAACCAATTCAACGAAATGGATAGATAAAAAATTTTAAGGTGAAATAAAAATTGTAACGCACAGAAACTGATCTCATAGATTCTGTAAACAATATGAATCGTGAACAGGGAAAAAATATGGACCCCTGGAAAAACCAGAGTTGAGATCAGGTACCTAGATGGATGAGCATGCATTCTTTTTTGACCCGTTACACCCCGTGATCTCTCTGTATTGGTCAAGTAAACGGAGTAAAGAGTGTTAAAAAAAGGCTTAAAAATTTGCTTATAAAGATGTCAAACAAAATACGACCCAACGAAAGGTTGTATTGCAATGTAAAGAATTTGGTAGAATTGCGAAATGGTGACTTTGTACGAGATTGTTGGAAGCCTTGTAATATCAACTTATTTGTCAGAAGCCTGCGTCGATTTACAAAAAATGCTACTCACAACATGCTCTACCGTACCGAATCAGTTGATTGACGTAAACATCATAAATGTAAACAGTAAAAATTAGAATATTACTGCATAAATAGGGGACGTCAACGATTGAATAACTTTCAATGAGTCTTCACGTTTGTCATATTTTAGTTGTTTGTTGGCTGTTAATGTCTATGATGAGTGAGAATTTCAGAAATTTGACAGACCCTATAGTTTATATCCCGATCACAAAACGTATCATAATAGGGCAACGGATATTTGGAAACATCAGAGGTGAGATCAGGTACATGTACTAGGAGGCGTAAGCAGCCCCTGTCAACCTGTCACACCCGCTGTAAAGGGAATACTTGATCCTAACGTGGAAAATAAATAAATACGTATACGTTACTGGAGTTTTTTTGTCTTTCTCAGTTTTATTCCATTATTGAATTATATTATATATAATGGACATTTATTAACAACCTTCCATTATTAAGGATGTAATCTGCCCGAGGTAAAATTGAAATAATTAGAATGGTGGAAGGATTTGGTTTAAGACACACAGGAAATATTGATAATTTTACTTCTTGTATAGAAAGCACAAAGAAATTCACATTACAAGAATGCTCCCGCCCAAACCTCTACCTGCAAAAATGTGTCTCCTAACCATGTAGGAACAGCGCACTAGACCACTCAGCTATCTAGACAAGCTTTCGATGTCGATGGAATTCTGGCGATGCCGCCATACACTACACAGTCAATGAGAATGGAAGTGATATACAGCTGTTCCTGCACTGCTAGGAGACAGATTCCCAGACTGAGAGTTCAATCCCGGTTTTGGGCGGAAATGAATATCTTTGTCAAGGGAATCTCTCTCTCTCTCTCTCTCTCTCTCTCTCTCTCTCTCTATATATATATATATATATATATTAGGTATAAAAATCTTTTGAGAGTCTACTTAGAGACCCAGGACAAAATAAAAGAAAGGTCTGCAATATGCTTGTGTCTCTATGTTTTCTGTGTGTTTTTAATTATTTTATTTACCTTGTTGAACCAACAAAACAAATTCTTGATTCGTTTGTTTTCTCTGCAATAATGTTTTTCTGCTTCATGAAGCAACAAACATTTGAAATCTTTTATATAATAAAAGTTAACTCAAAACAAAATAATCATAATTAAATGTAAGAGTTACTCAGAGTCTACTCAATAATTGTGAACATTATGCTATGAAATATATACACGTACATTGTCCAATTTAAACAAGGACTTTTTTCATTTTAGTAATTTTTGTACAAAGACAGTCCTGATTTAATGAATA